TCTTCCTGTAAACTTATGATTTCTTCCCAGTAAAAAAAAAAAAAAAACACCAGTAAACTTATGATTTCTTCCCAAAATTAAGATGAATAATCATTTACGTGGCCTTCTTCCTGCTGACTTCTGCTGGCTTGCCCTTCTCCACAAAACTCCTCCCACAGCCTACAAATTTCGACTCCCACCCCTTCCATTCCTTCGCCACCACCGCCACCGCCACCAGTTTCATTAAATTCAATTCGAAACAACAGAAGAGCCAAAAAAATCTCATGTACCAACGAAGAAATCAATAACGACGAAATGCTAGCAGAAGAACTCGTCCTAGAAATCAACAAGTTGAACACCCACACATTGAAAACAGAAGAAGTCTTGAAGAAAAGCAGGGAACTATTATTCACGGAATTGTGCAATTTCATGGGTTTGAAACTGGGGGATTTGAAGAAGCAATGGGAAAGAATGAATGAAGAGGAAAAATGGGTTTTGGTTAAATGGTTTGTTACAGAGTGGAGTGCCCATTTTCATCCAATGTGTGCCAAATCTGTTAAAGAAATGATTGATGAAATACGGATAATTTAGTGTTTCTGATAGGGAAATTGGGTTTTCATTTCCATTTTCTTGTTCTTGATTTTGCTGTGTTTACGGATAATTAAAGTATGAGGGGAGGAGGTGGGAAATTGGGTTTTCATTTCCATTTACCTGTTCCAGCGCCACCAATTACGCTGCCGAGAGCCATTACTGCGAGGAGAGTTTTTTTTTTCTTTTTCTTTTCTAGGAAGTTGTAGATTTGTTGAGGCGTTTGAAATGTTTAAGTTTACGCCATTATTCTGGGTTGAGGTGGGCAGGGGACATTGATGGCGGCGACGGGGTAGAGGAGATGGAGGAGGAGTCGAGGAGAAAATAGTGATTTTTTTTTTTAATATTTTCATAAATTTTGGAGTCATTTGCATTTTTTAAAAAAGTTTAGGACTATGATTGTAATTAATTCTTTATTTTTCTCTTTTTTATTTTATTTATATAGGAGGGCATAATGGTCATCTTATGTTAAAAATTAGGGAAAATGACGTTTTGCGCAAGAAAATGCAAAGTTGAGGACGTTCTACACCAAAAAATCATACGTAGGGACGTTTTCCACACAACCTGTTATAGGTAAGGACGTTTTGCGCCAATTACCCATAATTATTTTATGGGGGAAAGATATAAAGATACTATTTTGCCTTCTTTGAAATTGTTTAAAGTGTGATCAAAATCAATTTTTTCGGTCAACTAATAGGCATATGGATGGAAACTATCCATATATCCTTCGGTTGCACATGAATGAAATATTTGGGACCGTAAGTGCAACAAATACAAATTAAAGGTAGGATAAAGTTGCAAAAATCTGAATCATATTTAAAGAATAAAAATAAATATGTAAATAGAGAGAAAAATATGTATATTTAATTCTCGCACCTTTGAAATCCTCGAGACGGAGGATGGAGGATGGCTGTCGTGTCTCATTACCATCTCCTCTGAGATCCCAACCAAATGTTGGAATTTTGTATTGG